GTATCTGGGTCGAGGAAATCCATAGGGGGGGTCGTACTGTCAGGCTGGTCATGGGGGGTCGTACTCGTGGGGGTCAGTAACATCAGTGGCATCGTGGTGCAGATAGGAGGGAGAGGGTGTAGCGCAGCAGAAAACAAGGATATGTGAGAAAACATGATATAAATTTTCTTTGCAGGTTCAGTCGCTCCTTCCCTCTACCTTCGAGAAGGGAGTATTTAAAGGCAAAGTTCGGGCTCAGACCCACCTAAGAAGCCCTTACCATGGCTAGAAGTGCTGGGTACGCAAGTGCAAAGGTAGCGCCACCTTTCTACATCGAAACGCGTCACTAGGACCCTAGGCGCCATGGACTTCTAACAGACTCCACCAAACTTAACATGGTCCGCCCACCGTTCGATGTCTTGTCTGCGTCGCTCTCGTCGTTGATCAGCTATGCTCTCTCTGTGCATGTAAGACTTTCTTTCCCTTTTTTCCCCACCTCTCAACCCTACTTTCACATTTGAGTGGAATCAACCCATCAATGTACTCCTGATTCCTGCCTTTACTGGCCACATATGAACACGCGCTGCAAAGGCACCTCCTCTGCCTATCGCCGCTCCCTCTCCCTTAATACCTCGCTGAGAATGACACTGTTGTTAGGGACCTGTCGCAAAAACGACAACCGTGAAGGAAAGCCCTGGGCAAATGAAGTTGTTCTTCAGGTTGTAGGAGTTACGAAATGTGTTTACTACAATGCAGCTTCTGTCAACTGGTCATGATCATATAACACCTTTCAATCGATTCTGCAACTTCGAGTGAGGTCGGATGCATGGCCTATACCCAGACAAAATCGGATGATGACGATTGCCCCTTTTTTATTGCTTATGTTGGAAGAATGTATTCTAGACACATTTCGAGCGTTGCCAACGAATTACACTTGCAATGGTGAAGAAGGGAGCGGCTTTTTGAGCGGCCGAGAATCATCCTCGATAGATCCTCGACGCAAATATCTCCTCAACTAGAAATGTAGAAGGAAGCTAAACATACTGTTAGAAAGCGCAAACCTTCCGCTTTCCAAAACTTCTTCTTTTTCAAGATCTTGCGAAATTAGAGAGATATTGCCTTTTAAGTGGCAAAAACTCGCATGAAAATTTCAGCATCCTCGACGCTCCCTCGACGGATTTTGAGAGACTATATCTCTTCGAATGGAAGGCTTTCATAGCAATTCCAATACTGCCTGATAGTAGCAAATCTAGCTCTATCTAACCCTACCGCGTGCTGTTCAAAAGGTTGGGAAATGGAGGAATGGAACCTTTTCATCGAGGGTGTAGATTTCGACGGTTTTTTTTCGGGATTTCAGCAAATCTGACCCAGGGACAAATCGCGCCGCAAATCGGCCGTTGATCGATACACTCGGCTGTTGTGATTTTGCGTATGCTCTGTTTTAAGGGGGTCGTGCCAAGACCTCGATTTCAAGGGGGGTCGTACTTCTGCGACCACGTCCTCGACACGATTTCCACCCTGCTGTGTGGCAAAAGTTTGAATGTGTGAAAGCGTCGCGCCGCGTGCCCCCCCCCCCCCGAACCCGAGTTTCACCGGCATGCGCTACTGCATTTCGAATTCAGGTGGTGGGAATCCTAAAGCATCACCGCCATAAGCAATGCAGAAGGGTGACTGTCAATTAAAATGAAGCGTTCAGTTACGGTAGCCCACACTACCCGCAATTACACGGCGCGACTGAAACAGTTTTAAATCCGCCTGTGATTTTGCGTTTACTTCTTTCCGGTTTTCCAAATTCGTTCCTCGAAAGTGAGTTGCATGGTCGTTTCTTACGTTCAGAATGGAGTGTCGAAAGATGGAGCAGCAGCCGACTGCAGATGGGAATGACTGTTCGGGGGACACTAAGACTGGTGTCAAAACTGAGAATGGCGAAACAGCTCCCAAGTCTCGTCCCAAGCAGAATCGACGAAATCGCTTTGGAAATAGGCCTCGAATCAAGTCAGACTCGGAAGTTCCGTCAAAGGTCTGTTCTTAATTATTGTGGATCTTGGTTACTATTTAATCAACTATTGCAGCCCTAAGATGACAAAATTTTTAATTTCTTCGTAGCTGGGGTAAATCGTTGTTCTGACAGTGTGGATGAAATCCATTCAAGCCGTTGGTGCGACAGTGCCGCTGTCGCATTCACCAAATTTGCTGCGTGTATGGGGTTCTTTGGTGAGTAGGCGAATTCCACAGTCCGCGGTTGGTGCTTGTGCTGTTATTAGGAATGTGACTTTCAATTTTTACGGGGGAACGGTAATGACGGTTTTGAAATAGTTGGATAGTACCGGTTTTTTTCTTACTTATTCGTACTTTGTCCAAATAGTCTGTTGAGAAGATGTTGGAAATCATTCTCTCAGTTTTTTGACATCACGGTAGTGCGTTTTGACAAACTACCGTCTGATGTCAGAACTGTGAAACTACTGTGACAAGGGGAACTACCAGAACTTTGAAGTTGAAGAACTTGTTGCAACCAAAGGAGCTAGGTTTCATTCACTACTCGGCCAGCATGGTGTTAGGCAGGTGCAACTTTGCGGGTGATTAGTCGCTAGACGGAATGGGAAGCGATCGTTCGGCCGAGTTGTACTATTGCGCATTTCACAAGCGATTAGTCGCTAACTCTAACACCCGCCTAATTATGTACAGGGGCGCAAATTACGGAAACCTTGTGCTCATTGAAACTCGCTCGTTCAACTCCGCACCGCTGTTATTTCTTCTTGTGTAATATAACATTTCTCGAAGTTTGTGCAGTCATGGAATTTCTTAAGGCACAATTCTGAAGCGCGATAAAGACTTCTCGTTATTTCCTGGCGGGTGAAGAACTCAGGACTTTTGCGAATCGAGATTTTCGCGTCGCCGGTCGCGTTGCGTGCCAGCCAATAAAGCATTTCGCTGGCCGCGACGCGACCGCGGACGCTAGCGGAATGCTCGATTCGCAAGCTTGACATCGACATGGCTGATGTGTTCGTCAAAAGAAGTCGCTCAGGAATTAGTAATCTTTTCATACAGCGCAGTACAGTGACAAAGGTTAATCGCAGTACATACTTGCCGCCTCATATGTTAGCTGGCTCCCGCTCTCAATTCTGCATCGAAGGACTGTGAGCATGATATTGTTCTATGGGAGGTGATTAGGGTGGGGGGGGGCACGCGGCGGCGCGGCAGTCTGCTCGCCTGGCATGTTCGGAAATCCGTGGGCCAGGGGGAGTGTAGGCAGTCTAGGGGTGGGGGCAGTCACTTGACATGCGTGAAAAGCTGGAATGTTCGAGTTTACACTGTCCGCTAGAGAGCCCAGGTGAGCAGACTGCCGCACGGCGGTGCCTCCCCCAATAAGTTGACACCATTTTATTGAACAGAAAGTTATAGTAACAGTCCATATCTCCAATCTCGGAGTCTGATTTGGCGCATCTGTGAATTTGACGTGGGTTTCCATATTTTGTGCCCACCCTGTACAACGAGCATCCTCTGAAAATTGTTCTTCTTTCGAGTGAATTTATTCCGCCTTCAGTTATAGAAGCTTACCTTATGCTCACATTTGTGTTAGTACTGGTCACAAATGCGTACCCTTGCATTTTAATTAAAATAAACTCTCTGTTCAGTTTCGAAATTATAAACAATCAGAGCGATCTCATGCAAAGGAAAGTTCAGCTCGCGACCCGTTTGATCCGCAGGAGGTATGTAATTTAAGTTGTATAATATTTCTTTTTTCGGTTCGATATTGTTGTACATTCGTACTCTCTTTGGGTCTTGAGATAATTGTAGTATTCGCTGTCGAATTGTCTTCGGCGTCTACATGATAATTCAACGGATTTTATTCTCTTTTATTAAGAAGTTCTGACAAAGAGTAATGGTTCTCGTTTCTTCTTAAAGGTTGAATCTCTTTCCTACGGCATTATCTGAGTTTCATCTAGTGAACCGCTAAATCGTTCCCAAACCCTTCTGAGAGTTCATCACAGTGTGCTGGTATTTGCTAATTTCGCCTTTACAATAACCAGAAGAGGCCAGTTGGAGATGTGTGGCGGTAGTGTTGCTGGTCACTTATTGCCTCATCCAAGGCGTTAAACTTTATAGTGGAATTATTTATGTAGTTTGAGGTTTTGAACAGGCGTCGAAGTAATTGAGATTCAGTCAGTGTTAATTGGGATGCTACATAGAGGCTCCAGAGCCGGGAGTTGACTCTAGTACAAAGTATATTTGTTTACCTCACATGTCCCTGTTAAGGGCTGTAGGTTTGTTGCTGTTAAGGTCTGTTGCTAATAATACAGAAGAGTTATTTAATGAAGCACTGGCCGAAAAAGCAGTGTATAAAGATGTTGGTTTTGCAACTGCAGATCGAAGCCAGATTTTTCAAATCCATTATAAGTTATTTTGTACCGAGTGATTTTTAGTTCTACAATTTCCTATCAGATTACTTGCCCATTGGAGATAACGCTGTGTACCATACGCGATATTGTGCTTGTTGTGTGGGGTGGTGGGGAACAAGTAGAAAAAACGCTGCTACCTAAACTAGTGATACAGCAGGCAAGTATTGACAGGCAGGGAAGCCCCTTCAGTAGATGAGATTCGTTTCAGCAAGGCTGGGTGCTCTGCTCATCCCATCCAATCTTGTGCCTCCTACAAATAGGACATTTTGAGGACAAGGAATTTTCTATCTCGCATGAATTCTGAGTTTCGATATTTTAGAAATCTTCTACGAAAGCTGTTGAAGAAGGGAGTACAGGGGACGTGGGAAGAAATAGCAATGCACCGAAAGATCCTGGACGTGGTGGCAAAAAAGGACCATTCCCTAAAAGACGGGTTTTTACGAAACGCCGTGCAAGTGATTCAAACGCTGAGTTCCAGATAAGTGAATTATCATTTCATGCATGGCTCTTCTCGCAGTGTTCTTTAGAAGTGTTCCCCAATAAAACAGAATCTTGGAGAAGAGTGAAGATTTTTTCGTTTTAGGAAGCCTTCAATTTCCTCGCAGACGAATTGATGAAATTTATCCGTTCCAAGAAAGATAGTGAATCTCATTGTGGTGAGCACAAGGTCAAGGACGAAAGGCACGATACTACAGAGAAAAGTGGTGCTGTTAATAGAAGTCGACATGAAAGTGAAACCAAAACAGAGCCGGAAGTTAGTTTTGCAGTATACACGGTATTCACGGCGTGATTATTCTTCTTTCTCATCATGAGTTATCTTATAACCACATTGTCTCATTTTTTTACTATAAATTTTCCATCGAATCGATTCACTGAAGATTTGCAGGTACTGTTAACACCCTTGATTATTCATTTTGTTTTTAGAATCACAATTCTGAAAGAAGAGATGGACGTAAAGTGCGGGGAATGAAATCGGATATGCTTAGTGACCACGATCTGAAATTATCGAAAAAGGGAAAGAAAAAACCGTTCAAAAAGGAATCAGGAAGAAATGAGTTTGCATTCGCAGGCCAGCGCAGCGCGTTATGCCATGAGTTTTTTGTGGCGTATGGCCGCTTGACTAAATCTCTGTCTCTTGCGGGCCAGATTCGTTTACAGGGTGGGGCAAAATTACTGGTGCACTAAATTTTCAATGGCATTTTGACAATAATTCTCACAAATCAATTCTAATTATCAATATTATTTACTACAAACATGACAATACAAAAAATGTTAATGCTTCTCAAAATGATCTCCTTTAGCCTTCACACAGTCCTTCAGACGTTCGACAAATGCTTCGCATGTGGCACGCTGGTCATCGATTTCGTCCCAAGATTTTGAAAGCGCCGCCTTAAGAGAGTCCAAGTTTGGATGTCTGGTAGAACACGCTTTGCTCTCCAAGATGGACCACACAGAGTAATCCATCGGGTTTAGATCAGGAGAACTGGAGGGCCATTCGTCGTGTCTGATGAAGTCGGGCAGGTGCTCGGCGCACCACTCCTGGACCATCTTTGCTTTGTGTGCTGGAGCAGAATCCTGCTGGAAGCACCAGTAGGCTTCTCCGAAATGGGAGTTGGCCCACGGCTTGAGAACTTCCTCCAGGATATTTTTGTAAACCTCTGCGTTGATTTTTACACCAGCTTCAACGAAAACAAGTGGGGTCTTCCCCGTAGAGGTGACTCCTCCCCAAACAAGAATGGACTGGGGGTGTTTCGCTCTTTCCTGGAGTCTTGCCTTGGTGGTAGCATCAGCAAGTGATCCTGCAATAATCCTCTCATTTTGGGAGTTGAAGGCTGGATTCAGAGTAAAAATCTTTTCATCACTGAAAACGATGTCTCGGGCGCGTGCCACCGTGAATCGCTGCAGCAACTTCTTGCATCTCTCCAATCTCCTTTTCTTCATAATGTCCGTCAGGAGTTGGCATTTCTGCAAGCGATAGGGGAACTTCCTTAGCTTACTTCTGACAATCCTCCTCATTGACCTCGCGCTTACTCCAACGTCTTTCGCCATCTGGCGCATCGATCTCCTGGCGTTCCTTCGAATTCTTTCTCTGACGAGCCTCACATTTCTCCGACTCGTAGCTGTTGTGGGACGTCCTCTTCCTTCCCTGTCCTCTTCGGTCTTCAGTTCTTTATAGCGTCGTACTGTATTCTGAACCGTCCTTCGAGGTACGGAAAGGATCTTCACAATTTCTCTTGTTTGCTTGCCGTCGTTGTGAAGTTTGATGATCGCGCTCCGTAGGTCAGAACGACGGACCATTTTGTATTCGAGTACGTAGGAATTACGCAACCTCCAGGCAACATATCACAAGCGAGTGAAACAGGAAAATCTCCAAGAAGTGTTAAAAAATTCAAAACGTATAGGTGCACCAGTAATTTTGCCCCACCCGTTAAGTGCAATGCTTCTTACAGAGCAAGAATTATTTTATAGGGCAGAAAGCATTGGGATAATGCTTCATATGATGGAAAAGGAACAGTGGAACCTGGTACGCACACATCCTTGGATACGTGCAATACCGAGGTGGGAAAGATTACTTCAAAACTGCTTCATTTGTCATAGTCTTTAATGTGTACTCTCTTAGCATCAACCCCGTATATCGACTTTTTTTGAACAAATTTCTTTCTAAACAGTTTGATTTTTTATAATGTGCAGTTCATTAAAGTTTCAATTTTGGTTCGTCCACCATGTATGATTATTTCTTATTTTCGGAACAGTTCCGTAAACGAACTTATGAAAGGTTTTTCGCACTCTATCCTGGGTGTAAATCTTACCAAAATTGCCAAACTGCAGCAAACCCTCCATACAGCTGTCGGACGGCGAGAGTTGTACAGTTACGGTGTTAGGAAACCTTTAGGATGTCATGGCAGTAACGAGCACGGATGAACATAACTCGTCAAGTGGTGGACCCAACGTATCTCCTGCCGCTGTGACCTCGATCATGAGAACCCGGTCCCTGTGAACCCGGTCTATTACCCCTGCATTATTACGCTACGTTCCCCATTAGGGGATCGCTTAGCAGATATAGAAGCCTTTCTAAGAGAACGAACTATTTGCGGTGTGGAGAAGGACAATGTCGAGGTTGATAGAGTCACATAGGCTTCTTGACGTATTGCTTCCATGGAGGCGCTTTCTGGGTTCATGAGAGCAGGAGCAGTCGAACATGATTTCACATATAATCGTTGCTACGACAGATATGGTCTGAGGAAAGCGCTAACTATTCTTCATGTTTGTTTTGCAGCGAACTTTTTAGAGCAAGCCTCAGAAATTTTGCAGCATGCAGATAGATAGGTCGGGGACAGTCTGATACATAGAAAATTTCTGAAGATACGTCTTCTCAAAGTGAAATACTCTCCCAGAATAAAAAGCGAGTGATGATGATAACAGCATACGACGTAAAGTTGCGCTGGCACTACTCCTGGCAGCGCCTTACAGATACTGTGCTCGCGCTTCCAGCGCATCTTTAACCCAGTGACAGCAGCCGTTGTGCGTGTACTGCGGCCCTTTTTTCAGATTTTCTCACCGATATTCTTTGAATTTACTTTAATCAAATTATGATATTATATTTGTATTAATTTAATTCCGCCATAGGTAATGATTACATTGTTTTTAAAATCAAATGCTGTAAGCATACCACTATGGAGAAAGATAAAATGTCAAACAAATCAAACAAAACGAGACTCCCGTGAAAGTGTGTGGCCCAACTAGTCACGCGGTGGTCAATAGGTTAACCTTATGTACCCGTGCTGCGTCTTACCATATTGAACACTGTTTCGTGGTTGTACCTCTATTGAGCATCCATGTCAGCGGTGACCACCATTAGGCATAGAGTGACCAATTAGCTTGAGGATGTATACTCGGTGATAACTCTTTAGTCAAGCGCAACCTACGTCAATATTCAGCTCAGTACGAACAACGACTCAACTCACGTGGAGCAACCGCAAGGAGGAGATCGCAGGCAACGAAGAGATAGCGATAGACGGAAGGTAGAGTTTTATTTATTTGTAGTCAAATTGTAAAATCTTCGTTCCTTGTAGCAAAGAAAGTCGCGACCGAATTGGCTTAAACCATATGTTGTTCCATCTCCGCCTGATGTGGGTGCCCATGCCACCAAGCAGCACAACATGTTTTGGCCAACAAATATTTCAAATGACCAGGTAGCTTGGTTACTTACGTGTTACAGTAATCCTTATCTGCATTAGGTTAGGAATGAAAGTTTTCTCAAGATTCTACGGCTCGACTTCTCCTTTAGGCTTTTGCATATTCAAAGCTCTTGTTGGAAAAATAAAAATATCTTTGGCGTCTATTCAGAAAGAAGTTGCTGGTTCGCGATACAATCCTTATCGTAATGGAAGCAGTGGAAAAGGTAGATGGAACCGCAGTAGTGGTCAGAGTAATCCCGGAACGCGGATCCAAGAGGTTAGCAGTAAAGCATCCTTTCTTGTTTGAATACTGTCAACACTCTCCTCTTTCAAAGCTCCCTCCGATCAATATTCGATTGCAACTGATGTGAAGAAGTCTCTTGTTTGATAAAACAGCGGGCATTCTAGGAACAATATTGAATGTTTCGCTCAAATTCCACCCACCTCGACGCACACCGCGCCCATGGGTACCTTTTGACCTCCCTACTTCGCCAGTATATCCGCTTTTCCAGGCCTCTAGGCTGTAAAGAAATCAAATTATTAAGTATCATGGCCAATTGCGCCCGCTTTTTTGCGGGCCCTCCTTACCGATAGCATTTGGCCTCCCTTCATTCGTCAATCTCTATCCACTTCTCCATATCAAGATTATCTCAAAACAGAATTATCAGGTCCCATTACGGCGGCCAGCTATGGGGGCCCCTCTCCCACTGCTAACTTTTGAACTTTCCTCCTTTGCCAGGTTTAGTTCACCTTGTCCTGGTCTCTGGACCCTTTCAAGAATGAATTAAATTAATTTTAAGGAAAACCCTGCCCATCTAGGGATACGCGCCGTGTCCATTTTTGTCGGCGAGACTTTCGCTCGAATTAGGGTGGTGCTGTCTGTACGGTTGTTGGACATATCACAGTGTTTTTCCGCTTCTCCGACTCCAACTTCTTGCTTCTGAGTCTATGTACTTGTTTATGTGATACCTTTATTCTGAATTTGTCGCCGGTGACCCTCTCTAATAGCAACAATGCAACGTCGGATTGTCAGTCCCTTTATCCCCTACCCGCGACGCACCCTCGACCGCGCCATATTTCCCAGTTGATGGATTTTACTTAGGGATTGTGCCGTTCGTATAAATGGGTTTGTGTCCTCAGACGCATACTCATTCGGATGAAACTCGGATACACTCAAGTGAGAGTATACGCTGTGTGTTGGGCGTTTGTGGTTTAGCTGAGACACTCCAGATTAGCAAACATGTGACCCAATTCAAATTGATCACAGTGTTTATCGAGCTTCTGGTTTCGTCTGAAAGAGTATCTAAACCCCTATATTATCTCAGAATCTAGATTGGCAGAACAAGAGATAGAGAGCGGAGACTAGATAGTTCAGGCGAGGCGCAACAGACAAAAGTCTCAGGTGAGATGATCATGCTAGAGCAGTTGCGAAATGAAAAAGAAAATTTCTCCGAGCAACTGAGAGATAGCATACAGAATTCAGGCGGAGACGCGCTGTAGTTGCCGCAGACGGTTTAAGAATCAGCTTGTGACTCGCAGTCTGGTTGGTAGAAGCTGTTGTTATTGTGTTCAGGATGATCTGTGTGTTAGCGCTTAGACCAGTGGTGAGTCGGGCTAATGACCTCCGAAACATGTGTCGCAGTTCATTGATTTCATGCTTTAAATGTGCAGAATCGCTTAAATGTTTATTGAGTGAGTGTTAGTGTGTACACCGTTTAGGGTTGCGCGGGCAGATGGCGCTATGATCGCAGAGTACTCTCCTCAGCGCGGACGTCATCGGCCTGTCCTTCTTGATCGAGTGGTTAGTAATATCATCTCACGCTCTAGCATTATCATTCGACTTTGCATGTTCAATATTGGGTTCTGTTTCTCGCCTCTCTCTCTCAAGCTCCGAGTCTAGTATTTCTTGTGATAGAGCTGAATTTTACTACGTTCCCTATATTTGTGAGTGATGATAAGAGGGGCGTGTGAGCGGGATTATTAGGGGGGTGAAAGTCTTTATATCTGCGTTCTCTTTACATTATAGTTATCCCGACGCTCTTGATATATGCTTCACTGACCATCAAGTGCATTCAGAACGCAGAACGTAGAGAACGCATAGACGAAAGAGCTTGTTGATAGGGTGCTGTGATACAGGAGCGAACGTAGATGCAAGCGACTCTCACGCGAGATAGTGACTGTACAACTAAAGATCGCTTCTAGTATATGTCCTGCTCAATTGATACTCATATGAACTGATCCACCCGACAATTTACCATTTATTGGCGTTAGGTTGTATTACTGTCTCATAAGATCAAATTCACCATCTCGGACCTAGCGTGTAACGCATCATGCAAATGAAAATGTTACAAAAGAGGAGGCCCCGTCGTCGGCTCATAGCGAAACACTTATCCCTTCCTCGGATCCTGGAGATAGTTCTGAGACCTTAGCAGACACCAACTCGGAAGCCTCCCTCAGCGTCAATATCAGTGAAGAAGATATCAAAGATAATGGAAGCAATCTCTGAGGAAAAACCTGCCGATGAGGGTAAGCGGCGTAGCCTAGCTGTCAAGAAGTACGACTTCGGAGCGATAAGCGATGCTGTTATCAAAGACATTGAGGGGAAAATGAACTACAGAGTGAACCGCTTGTTACGCGTGATGGTGGACCTTCTTCATCCCGATGCAAGGTCTTTATTAGGTAAATTTCCATGTTTCCTGGAAAACACCTAATATTCTTACAAAAGAGAAGCAATGTGAAGGATGTGTTCTGACTCATATTTACTACTTATCCATATCCCCCTGTATATCCAGGCTATATATAAAGTGCCAATATTCCTCGCTGTGTCTGTGCCACGAAATCACTATTCCTAAATGACAGCGTGGAGAAGGGGGTCTAGTTTGGAATGAGGGACGGGAACTAGTCATAAGTTGCAAGGCGCAAATAGGAGCTGATGTGATCTCGGGCATAGCGGCGGGGGTTGCATTCGTAATCTATGCTGCAAATGCAGGCAGTTACAAGAGCCACCCAGTGACTGACAGTGTGTAAAAGTATTATTCGGTGGCGAAACCAAATCAGTGGAGATCTACTCGTAGTAGTCTAATGTGAATCACTCAGGGCGGTAATTTGCTATTAAGGCACATTCTTGGCATTGATAAACGCTTCAGAGACTTGAGAAATATTGCTAGCAATGCCTAAGCGTAAGCTGAGCCTGAAATATGTAGATATAGAATGCGGAGAGACGATAGTGACGAAAAAGATGGAACGCTGGGTATTGGGGTGCATACGGGGCATTTCGAGTAGAGTGAGTAACGGTATTCCTCGCCCATGACTCTGCACTGCGCAAAAGTAGTGACGAGAATGAGCGTACGAGCGGAGAGCGCAGACGGCTCGTGCATGGCGAGTATGAATGTACGCAGTGGAGAGCGTAACTGATCTAGTCGCGAAAACCATCCTTGACAAGAAGTGAGGAATTCTCGACCAATATTCACCTTGCTGTCGATGCGAGAGAGCGAAAATGGCAGACTGGATGTACCGTTCCATATCGCTGAAGTCCTGTGTTACACTCATGGTTAGCATACGGAGCCAAAGGGAAAGGAGATTAGCTCGTAAGCATACAAAATAGAAAAATGATCCTTTGTGTTCATAAATAGATTAAATAAATTAATTCTTTGTTCTGGACTCATACTTAGGAGTAGAGATTGCTAAAGTACCTTCCAGACTGTATTGGAGTTTCTTGTGAAGAATTCTATCGACTCTGCTCCCGATTTGCCAAGGTTGACTTCAGTAGCGCAAGAGACCTAGACATCACCAGTGTCGACGAGGACCTTTTGCAGCGACTTTATGAGGTGTGAGAACCTTCTGGTACTCTACGTATTCATTGTACTTTACCAGCGTATCATAGGAGCTTGGTTGGGTCTGTCGTTCAATACTGTTCCACTGTTATCTGAGAAAGCGCTGTTGGCTGACAATTTGATCAATTTTAGTCGTCTAGATTTGGACATCTTCCAGGCTGAGGTACTTTTACACTACTAGTTTCAATTTCCCTTGTTTTAGCAACTTGAAATTTCTCTTCAGGGCATTGATCCTCATAAGGAGCTCGCCATGATTTTTGACGTTGCTGATGATTTTCGTAATGTCCCAGAGCTCCATACAAAAAGATACGCCTGGTTGGTTAGATAAACTTCATGTGTATGAACAGAACATTTTTCGAGCCGTTTACGGCCGATGACAAACAACGGCGGCGTCAGGCGGTTGTGGCTTGGCTGAACATGGCTTTGAAGCTTTTCATGTAGGTGGCAATTACAGCTTGGTGTGCTAGACACAGCAGAAAGTGTCGTTGAAAAAATTGAACTTGGAATTGCAATATCAGACCAGACACTGCACTCGTTTTTTGTTTTCGGTTTTTATTTTTTATTTTTAGAAGATTCATTTTTAAATATGCTCACAAAATGAAAACTGGTTCTACTTCTGATTGATGCGAAATAAAAGCAACCAAGTGCTGATCTAGGAATTATGGATGTATTTTGTGGGGAAGGGGGAAGGGGAATGGTGAGGGGTCGTGCTATAGTCCTAGAGGGTGGCAGGAAATCATGGAAGCGAATCTAGGACTTGGCTTTTTATGAAAAATGTCATATCATCGGAAATCGGTCACATCTATAAATTATCCGAGCCGTAATGGAGGAGGGGGGGGGGGAGGCTAATGAGCCTTAGTGGAAACATCTTCCGGGAAGCTGGCTGGCATCTGTGGTAGCCACATTCTGAAGCAAATGTTGGGTTCATTCAGCAGGGTTGTCTGACTTCAGGACAGCTAGCGTGTGCCTAAGTGACTGTAGCCGTGCTTCGTAACGTCTGCGAGTGAGATCGCCTGCCGGTAGTGTAGGGGGATTCCTGGAGGCTCAACGAAAGAATAAATCTATTCTTTTTTCACAGGCATCATCGATAATAATGCTGTAGGCTAGCCTACCTTAAAAAATAGCGTCAATGGTAGGTGATGCTTCTTAAATGTCGGTAAAGTGTCCCTAGCTGATTAAGGACTGATTAAGATACAGAGAGAGGAGCGAGAAGCACACGCACCAGCACGAATCACAATGGGCCAGGCAAAGTGAGATGTGGCGCTTTCACAAGCAAAGGTGCGCTGGTTGCTGAGCAGGACTTCGAAAGCACTCCGCCCCCAAAAGCGATCCGCCCACCAGTTTACTTGTTGATTTGGACGAGCTGCGTGGCCAGCAGCGACGCAAATGGAGCATCTCGAATAAAGGGTGGTTTGGCATGGTGCCATCAACATGTCGCGCGGTGAATTCGTTCATACGACTCCACTTTCTGAGCTGTGACCTGTTCATGAGTGAAAACCAAGCGGCAAAAAAGAGGGTCCCGTTTTGCGTTTTTTGACGGATTTTTCTGCTTTTTTCGCCACATGCGTACTATTGAGCACATCACGTCACATTGAACCCTTCCTGAATTTATCGTAATCGCTGCCTCAATTCAAATTGCATTCCTAAATATGGTTTGCTTCGCTAGAGTAAAACACAGTACGTACCATTTTGCCAGTAAAAGGTCTGGACTGCACTTCCGGTAAGGAGTTTTCAAGCGCGATATATTTCAGATGTTACGAGAATCGATGAATTCTGGTTTTGGCGAGGTTGGAGCGTCGTGGCTGTCGGGAACGGTCCATCGCGGACGTGATGCAATGAGCGTGTTGGAGCTGCGATGGTTGCTGAGTGGTGTGGCCGGCAGTGTTTTCTCTTAGTAATTCATTCAACACAAAGTAATCCAATCGTTTCAGTGTCATGGAATCGATACCTCAAATGGAAAAATGTGTTGACATCCGTCCGTTAAAATGCACTATGATGGTAAGAGATGTTACATAATAAGGTTTCTCTCATACAGAGTCTTTTTGTATCGTCAGTTTTCTAATCCCTCGTTTCTACATCAATTTAGATCATCCCGAACGCTCTGAGTCGGGTTAATGAGGACGACGCGCCCCGCTGTGTTGGCTGCGTCATTTAGCCAGACATACATCTGCTCAAGGTGCCGTGAGAATTGCCCCATGCTACTACGACACACTAACGGATAGATCCGTGTAACTTGTTTGTCATAAATCCGTGAACCATCGTCTTTCCTCCTTTCCCTCTCTACAGTTCTTTGGTTTGTCGAAAATATCATATAATTTTGCAGTTGGTGATGGAGCTCACCACGCAATTTTTCTTCTGTGCTACAAAGTGCGGTACAGAAGAACTTCTCGGTGCGCTGCTAGAAAACATCCCACTTGATAGGAAAATCCAAGCTATCAAGGTAGTTTTCACATATCTTTCCTACGTTCGTCTTCCACCCTTTTCTCAGAGCATTGATCATTTTCCAATGTGCCTCCGTGAAGTTCTGCTGTCTGATCCATCTAACGAAGCAAGCCTTTATGCTGCTACGAAACGCATGGCTGAAGAGATGCCTGTTTACCGGTTTAAGAAGGATGCTGTTTTCCTCATTTCAAGTGAGTTTGTTTTTGAGTCGCAACGTGAGGTGGTCACTAGTAGTACTGAATTATACTCACTTGTAGATTTGTGCGAACATAGTTCTTTGTCGCCATCAGAACTCCTGTTGAAAGTGTTCTTTCCTATGATGTCTACTCCGGCTAGAGGAAAAGCTGCTCTTGCCATTTCTTCATTAGTCAAACACAACAGGTTCAAGGAGCAACTTTTAGAAAGGTATATCTGCCTAAATGAAAGGCTGCGCGCCTGTTTAGAAGGTATGATCTGCTAACTGAATAGGCTTGCGGCCTGTTTTGATAATAGCGCTACTACTAGGGTCAACTATTTCCTTGTCCAATCTGGTAGCTTTTGCACTGGAACAGTATGAACCTCCATCCAAGTCAACGTGCAATAGTAGATATGCTTTCATAGGTAAGGCGTAAATTTTTTTGCTTGCTACTCGAATCATTTTAACATAAGCTCCGGTCTATTTTGTAGTGTGCCGAAAGGCGGTTTTTTACTGTTAGACTTTACCGTGCCCTTTCGCACAGGTTTGTAGTCTTGAAAATGTCTTATTGCTTGAAACTTCCAGAATCAATATTTCTTGCTGTTCGCGAGCTTCTATTAGATAATGAGGCTCTCGCTGTGAACTTCGACGAAATCTTTCAACACCTGCAGGTATGATTTTCGGACTGTTCGTATCATTGACCGAATGCGCGAGGGTGTGAGTAATAAATGCAAGAATGTAGGTTGTTGTAGGAAACTCAGACCTTGTTAATGAAGACTCACGCAGTTTGCTATTTGCGTACGCCTTGTAGAAGTTGCGTGTGTGCCTTGAGGAGGAATTACAGATACAACTAACGGTGATAGAGACATTAGTTACGGAGCTGGCGTAACTTTATCGGCAAAAGGTCTTAGAAGTGATGAACGTAATTCAGACATACGTGTATCGTTTGACTTTTTGAGCGGTAGAACGTGCCCTAGTCAAGAACATAAGAAGTGTGACTGAACAAAAAACTCACCTTGGAAAGCCGCTAGAAAGGGAGCTGAACGGCTTCGAAGTGGGCGTGGTTGGAATCGGCCGAGGGACTGCACAACCACGCCCACTTCGAAGCTGTTCAGCTCCCTTTCTAGCGGCTTTCCAAGGTGAGTTTTTTGTTCAGTCACACTTCTTATGTTCTTGACTAGGGCTAGCGCATCGTTCCACACCATCAGTGTCCCTGCTGGGAGTGTTGCTTTATAACAGTGATTATCTGGTGGAGTTTAGCTTAGAGATCTAGTCATACATATGTCATAGGACAGCGAAAGTCGTGAATGTGATGGATTAGTTAATGATTTTTTATAAAAAGTGTCTTGTCTTGCTCTTGTCAGGGAATCACTTGATAAGATTGGGAAGAGAACTTCTGGAAGCATGTCCAATGATTAGTTTCGTATCACAAGTAGAACAAAAAAAGCTTTTGTCCTCTACGGATTATTCTTCCATCGCCATTCACGATTTTACCCCTTCAGTAGATATACGATGAGTGCAATCGAAATTCTTGTTGACAGCGCGCTTTCGCTGTGGTTCATTCAAATATGGAAGAGCTTAAGATCGCAAACTTTTATAAGTCAATATTGAAATTTGTCATCTTTTTCTCCGTCCTCCATTTAACTGCTTTTTTGTAGCACTTGACAATTGCCGTTCATTTAATTACAGAGCTTCACATGGTATCAGAAAGTTGCTATTTCTCTTCTTTTTTGCGAGGGAATTGGTCGAGTTCCGATAACGGTAACTATGACATAACTTTCTTTCTTTGTTTTACTTATTTCGCGTTGGTATTTGTTTTGCAATTTCTTCTAAAATCAATCACTAATTTTTTTGATTAGCTTTGATTATTGTTACCATTTCTAGTATCCATGGAATGATGGCGATAAGGTGGTAAAGAATCTGCAAACCCTACGCGAGCTGCCTTTAATTCTTACTTCGTGGCCTGGTGATAATTCGAGTCTTTTCGAAGGCTTCATCAAAGGTGACGATTTGTGTTATCAATTCGGCTGACTTCTTTGAATGTAAACGTAAAGGTTCTATAGAAAAATGCATTCGGGGGGGGGGGGAAGCAACAGGACGCCTTTTCAACCGTCGATTTTGGGAATGGGCGAGCTCACTGCTAATATTGTAAAGCAAAACATGGCGTCATGGAAACGGCCATCGGTGAGCAGTTGCTGATTTGATGGCCACTGCAACAGTGCTCATAAAGAAATACCCTCCCTTCAAAAAGCGAGAAAGTGTCGGGTGCAGACCATGCACCACAAGTGACGACGGCCTTCACAAAATGTTAATGTTTTCTGCCAATGAAATGATTAGCCTGTTGCAGTTGTATTCTATCGATTGTCACTAATTACAACTATCATTTACCAGAAATCAGCTATCACTATGAACAACTTCTAACCAGATTTACTTGGAGGCCGTCGTCAGTTGTGGTGTTTGGTCTGCACCCGACACTTTCTCGCTTTTTGAAGGGAGGTTAACTCTAATGACACGGCGCGCGTAAGAAGGCATCATTGTCATCCCTTCCATGTGCAACCAGGTGGGATTGGTTTTCGGCGGAATCGAGTGTTCCTAGACTCATTCGGCGCATTCTGCCACGTAAGCACGGAAACATCATCATCGTTTGAGTAAACCCTCATACCCTCAGCACTACTCATCATTCTCTTTCCCAAGCAGTTTTCAATGTCAAAAGCGCGTCACTTTGATGTTCAGAAAGGAGACGAGTGAGTAGTCGCAGAGTGGTAAGAGGGTTCGACTCAAACCGGGGGGGGATTTTTGGGGGGGATTGGTGTTTCGCTGCTTACGTGGCAGAATGCGCCGATTGAGTCTAGGAACGCTCGGATTCTCGAAATAACCCACTATCGGCGCATGGAAGGGATGGCAATGATGGCGTTTTTTGTGTGTCCGTCCATGTTGGATAGTGCTAACATGTCCGGGCCTTATCTCTTGCCCGTACAGTTGCATTAAAGGCACTTGACGATCAGGGACATTTCAGTTGGAGACGCTTTTATGTGTAAGAAATAATATTCGCAAGTATGGGGTGCGGTCGCGACTGATCTCGACCTTCCAATGACCATATATACTTGTCAGTAGGTCTTTGGTAGCATTCTTTTTGGCGGTCGTGGTCCGTGCTGATCTTTCAGAGAGGCAGAGCAGAGATATTCTCAGAAGAGAATTATAGATAAAGGGGGTCAAGCAAGGAAGTATGCCTGTCCAAGCTGTTGGTCCGGTTAGCTTCAAGTGATCAATTGTATGAATGTAACTTCTGAGTGTGAAGAGATCTGAGTATTCGGAGATTTTCTCAAAATTGTTTCTCGAATTCCGTTCATAAGTCAGACATACGATTTATACCGATTGCGAAACTGGACGCAGCTAGGTTACCCTTTTGGAATTAGTTGAATCCCAATATGTGAAGGGTTTCTTTATTAAAGTCGCATGTTTCCTTGAATAACTGCTACTAAAAATCAAAACTGATCACTAAAAGTGTGTTATTTATGAGTTTTGTGACAGGCAGCTGTGCGGAATTACCAGATTGCCACACGCAGAAGGATGTGAGGACATCGAAAGTCTAGCGTTTCAATTTCTTGAGCATTATATGGTCACTTTTGCTTTGAGGCTGTATCAGAAGCAGTTATTTTAGATAACTTCTGTGCTGATGATGCTGATCTTCTATCTCGGGTGATGCTACTAGCACTTGATCGTGACGAGGAACGTATAAAGGTTAGTAATGTGGTTACTAGAGTTTTTTTTCAAATTTGTCATTCATTTATTACATGTTAACATTGATAATCTAATGTCACATGAGCAAAGAACATATTTTTTGATAATATTTTGTGGTATAATGTAACATTTTGTATTACAGGAAGATGTACACATATTCGCCAATTCCATATACGGCATAAATGAAGCAACGTGTGATTGGGAGACGTTGTTACTCGAATTCGAGAAGAAAAATGAATTCAAAAATTCTGAAAGCGATGGAGCGAAAGACGAATGCCTGCCGTCCGTTTCGCGATCTCAAGATCATAGTGTGGAGAATTCTTCGAATACTAAACCAGCACCAGAGGACAATGAG